CTTTTCTAGGTCCAGATAGATGCAGTCAACCCAACCATCTCTTTCCTGTAATATCTCTGTGGCTTCATCATAGAAACTGAGTAAATTCGATACTCAGGATCTTCCAGATCGAAAACCATACTGTCTGTCTGATATTATATCATTTCTCTCCAGGTGTTCTACCTATTTAGTTTTGATTAGTTTTTCCAATACTTTCACTATTACACTTGTCAATGATACAGGTCTATAATTGAGGGGGTCTTCCCTGCTGCCACTTTTGTAGATTGGAATTATGTTAGCCTTTTTCCACACGTCTGCTACGATTCCTGTACACAGGGATGCCTGAAAGATCTGGTAAAGTGGAATGCTGAGCTCGGATGCATATTGTCTCAGAACCCATGGTGAAACTCCATCTGGGCCAACTGCTTTGTTCTTACTTAGCTCCTTTAGCATATTTTCCACTTCATCTCTAGACACCTCTATACGCTCTATGTTGTTCTCTGGAATTCTTATTGTGTCTGGTTCTCTGAAGATTTCATTTTGTACAAACACACTTTGGAACTTTTCATTTAGTGTTTCACACATTTCCTTTTCATTTTCCGTGAATCTGTTTCCCATTTTCAACCTCTGTATATTATCCTTTACCTGCAATTTGTTGTTTATGAATTTGTAGAATAGGCCCGGTTCTGTTTTACATTTATCCGCTATCCCTTTTTCAAAATTTCTTTCTGCCTCTCTCCTTACTGCCGTATAGTTGTTTCTCGCATCTTTGTATCGCTGGTATGTTTGGGGGTTTGGCCTCTTCCTATACTGATTCCATTTTTGTGTCTTTTGGTCTCTGGCCCTCTCACAATTTCTGTTGAACCAATCCTGTTTTCTGGCCCTGTATCTTTGTTTTGGTATGAATGTTTGTGTGCCTTCCTCGTATATTTTGCAAAATTTGGCATACATTTCATTTACTTCCCTGCCTAGCAACAAGTCTGTCCAATTACACTCGTTAAAAATTTTTTGAAGTTCTCCATAGTGACCTCTCCTTAAATCGAGTTTATCAACTTTTTCAATGTCCCCATTTTCTTCTAGATGATATCTTAAAGCATAATCAATGTCTAACAGGACGTGATCACTCTTTCCCAAGGGAGGAAGGTACTGGATGTCAAATATCACTTCTTCTTTCCTGGTGAATACTAGATCCAGTACTGACGGTACATCTCCTTCCCTCATTCTTGTGGTCTGTTTTATGTGTTGATACAAGAATGTCTCCAGAATAAGGTTCACAAATCTGCATGTCCAAAAGTCCTCTGTTCTTGCTTCATAGGCCTCCCAGTCTATTGCTTTAAAGTTGAAGTCCCCCAGTATCAAAAGTTGTGATTTATCTTTATCTGCTTGTACAATAATATCTCTCATGACCATTATGAGGCCCTCTCGTTTGTCATCCAGTTCTTCTTTTGTTCATGTGTTGCTTGCTGGTGGGCTGTAGGCATTTAAAATTATCAGCTTATCATTCTGATTCCAGACCTGCAATGCCATTATGTCAATATCTCGAGGGTTTTCAAATATTAACTCTCTTACCTTCAGGTGTTTTTTCACCAATACAGCCACTCCTCCTTCCTAGTTTTCCTGTCACGTCTCCAAACTTAATAGCCTCTTGGGAATATGACTTCATTTAATATATTTCCTTCAAGTTTCGTCTCTGATAATGCGACAATATCTGGAACCCCGAAGCTGGATTATATCTTGCAATTCCAAAGTTTTTGACCTTACTCCATCAATGCTGGTATATACAATTTTCAGGAACATGTTCCCTTTTCCTCTGCTCTTTACTCCCCGTTCCACTACTGATCTTGTTGCTTTGTTTTTATGTACCATTTCACAAGCTTTCCAGTCCCTGTCACTTTGTAGAAAAAAGAATTTCTGTCTTCTTCATTTCTATTCCCATTTAGACGTTTTGCCTCAATTAGGTTCATTTTCAGCTTTTCTCTGTCTTCCTTGGAGAGGTCTTGTCTTATTGACCAAAGTTTGCCAACCTCATCACTCTGCAATTTCCTGGCATTTCTAAGCACTTCCATCATGTTTTTCACTCCATTAAACGTCACCCTTAAGGGGCGGTTCTTGTCTTTCTCATATTTTCCTATTCTAAAATCACTGACATTTTCCCTTGAGCCTTCTCCTAAACCTACTATTTTCTCTATGATTTTCATCTCTTCTGCCGCTCGGTCCACCCTAGATGAAATTTCCTTCTCTAAACATCCAAAAATTATTATGGACTTACTTCTGTCTGCAGTGTTTTGTACCAGTTTACTGTTGGTAACCAGTTCTTTCCTAATTGCTTGCCTAATTTCTGCTTCTTGTTGGTCATTTCTGGTTTTGACTTCCGAACACACTTCTTTGATAGTCTCTTTCTCTTTTACAACTTGAGCATATGTCGCTTTTATTTCTTCTTTATACTTTTCTAGTTCTTTATTCACCTCCTCTATGTGAGTTGTCAGTGAAGTTTCCAGTTGGAGATCCTTACCTAACTCTATGTTAGCCCTTAGGCTTGCTTGGAGTTGCTCACCATATGAGTCTATTTTCTTGTTTATTTCTTCAAAGTCACCACACTTCCACACCTCATTTTCTTTCACTAGTTCCTTGATTTGCTCCTCTTGATTTGTTACCTTGTCTGTTAATGCAGTAATAATCTTACCTTGCGGAAGCATACTCCCTTTTAGAGTGCAAAGCTCACTCCTAAGAGCTCCATTGTTCTTTTCCAATTGAAGCACTTTTTTTTCATACTTCTTTTGCATATCCTCAATTATCTCTAACCTGCCAAGAACACCTCCTTTCCTTATATCTTGGGGTGAGAATCCTTTGAAACAATCATCTGTTGGTGGGTCTACATTCCCAGTGGTGGTGGCCATCTTTGTTTTTGTACTAGAACCAAAACAAACTTTTCCACTCAGCTATTTTCACTCACTTTTAATTGTTTATTGTATTTTATTTGCTTTTACACTTCCCTGAACCTTTATGTAACCTGGGACACCACTGTAGCCCTCAACCTGTTCCCAATACTTAGGTAATTTGATATTTCCAGGAGCTTGCTGCAGTATGACTCCTGCCTCCTCCAGCTCACAGTCACAGTCCCATGTAATACACGGGACAATGTAATACATGAGTGTAATACAGTGTGTTACTGTGTAAATAGTCTGTGAAACTGTACATATTGTAATTTTAGTGAATTTTTAACAAGTAATATTATGACAATAAATATGCATCACATACAATAAAAAACAAAACAAATAAAACTGCATTAGAAATACATAGAACAAATAATTTAAATATATTTTTGGCAACACCTGGTGCTTGAATGGCCCGCACGACCGTGTCTGGGCGTGTCATGCACGGGCGACCAGGCCCTGATGAAGTCACAGCGCACCTTGTCCACGTCCTCACAGTCAAAGTAAGTGGAATTTGGTATTTATTTTTACAGACATGTTCAGGAAAGGGAATTTATCATTTTAAGAAGAAAAAATAATTTTTTGGGAACACTTTCATGCGCACAGGGAGAATTTCACACAAAACTTGGCACAGCACAGTGGTTAAAGGTACGGTCTTCCGACATGAGTACACCCAAATCCTTTACATTGCTTTTTAATTCTATCATCACTGAATCCAGAAAATGATTCATCTATGTATCACCTATAAAAATTGGAGATGGCAAGGGCGCTCAGAGCTACAACTGGATCTATCTTGAGATGATTTCGGGCTTAGCGTCCCCATGGCCCGGTCCTCGACCAGGCCTCCTTTTTGTTACACACCTCCCAGGAAGCAGCCCATAGCAGCTGTCTAACTCCCAGGTACCTATTTACTGCTAAGTAACAGGGGCATCAGGGGAAAAGAAACATTTTCCCCATTTGTCTCCACCTCCACCGGGGATCGAACCCGGAACCTCAGGACTACGAATCCAAAGCGCTGTCCACTCAGCTGTCAGACGCCCCTATATAGCTCTGTATTGTATCACTATATCTGATACTGTATCGTATTGATACAGTATCGCTGTATCATCCTCATCGGGATTGTATCACTTGCATCCGACGTTTGTGTTAGGTCCTTATTGCGCCTAGCTTCATCAATATCATAACCCTTATGTTCTTCAAACAATAAGGTCTAAATTTCACCAACAGAGAGCGATCTTTCAACACCGCGTCAGACAGGTGTTTGGGAGCCAGAGGCACGTGGGTCACCCATGGTTGCTCACTCAGTACTAACCCAGCCAGCAGCCCTAGGACATTCTAGGATTTTTTTTTTCCAAGATGGCTGCCTCTCAATGGATGTCCCAAGAGTCCATTTCGTACACAACCTACTGCGCAGGCGTTTTGAATGGGTACATAATATTCAAATGGTGTTTTCTCGGTTGGAGCAGTTTCCCACCGACCACGTTTTCTCAGTTGGCGCAACACAATGGTTAAGACACTAGTGCTGTCTATGGAAAAAATGTTGTAGCCCACTGTACAATTCGCATTCACAGCTAGAGAAATTTCTTACCAGGACTTGGAGGAAATTCATTCAACAAAACATCTAAAACATTGAAATGGCTTAAAATCCTTTAAACTGAAATCCTTAGGCCACAGGAGAGATAAAGTATGTAAAAATTTACAATTGGAAAATATTAAAAGGACTGGTTCAAAAAGGCTGGTTCCAATCTTGCACACAGATTAACCCATTCCAAGAGTAGAGATGCAAAATATACACTTAAGCTATTTTATAAACATTAAGAGTTCAAGACTTCTCAAGAGCTTCACTCTAACTAGGAGAGGCATAATTAGTTCTTTCCATGATCAAAAGAGACCTTGATCAATCTCCTGCAAAAGGTACCTCATCAACAGTGGTTTATGTCAGACTGTGTACTAGGTCTCAAAGAACCTGGCTGACCAGACCATCAACCAGGATGCTGTGAGGACTGCTCCTCGGAACCACACCAAGGTATGCTAGTGAGAAATTCCTAATGATGATGCCCCGTTAGGATGATTATAATAATAACGTACCTCATCGTCTTTTTCTTCCTCTTCATCACTGGACCAGACCCAGTCACCACTTTGTGTTCGGTGTAACCGACCAGAAGCCCCAGGTTGTTTACTTCGATTTTGCTGTAAAGGATAAAAGTATTAGTCAAAAATATAATTAACAGATGAGGAATATCATATACAGCATCAGTGCTGCCATCACCTGGCCTCATTTAAATCCTGTTACCACCTAAATATGGCTTTAAAAAAAATTATTTTAAATCTATTATAAATAGTTAGCTTATCCTCTGTTAAATGAAATCCTTTGCATTTCATACACACATATATCTATAATATAAGAGAGAATGTCTGTCAGTCTGTCCAAAGCTGGAAGTCAGATGCTTGGACTAATCTCACCCAAATTTGTAGGGGCAATGGTCTGGGGTAGGGGACATAGGTTGGTCATGGTAGGCCTAAATGCTTTAACAAATATAGCCAGTAACCCAACACATCTAAGAAATTTAATGGTCTGGGGTAGGGGACATAGATTGGTCATAATAGGCCTAAATACTTTAAGAAATATAGCCTGTAATCCAACACCTCCAAGCAATTTTCATGAAGTCCGAAATAGAAAGGGGATGAAATCAAGCGTCTTGTCTGTAATGTGTGACTTACTCCCGCCATTTACCCACGTATTTTCATAATTTATTTTATATATAAATGGAAATATCTACCTCTTCAAGGTGGTAGAGGAGAAGAGAGAGGCATGGGGGTGAGGGGTAGGGAGATAGGGGTGAGGGTGAGAAAGGGGGAAGGAGGGGATGGGGGTGAGGGGGAGTGGGAAGAGGAAAAAACGAGAGAGATGGAAAGGAAAGGGAGAAAGGTAGGGAAGAGGGGAGTGAAAATAGGGAAGAGGGAGGATGTGGGGAGAGGGGAAATAAGAGGGGTGGAATGAGTGATTGCTGGGAGAGATATACAATTCCAGGCACTGCCAGGTCTGTCTGTTCGAGACTGGAAGCCAAATGGGAAAGAGAGAGAAGGAAGGAATTATTGCTTCACTAGACATCGAATCCCTGATTACTAACGTCTTGGATGGCAGAACTATGCAGATGATCCTCGACACAGTACACAGAGATAAGAGCACCCCCTAAATTAGACATACCCAGGCCACGCCTGAAGAGTTTTCTCCAGGCATGTACGAAAGAAGCTCCTTTCAATAACCCACAAGGAAATACTTATCTACAGATAGAGTAGCAATGGGCTCCCCACTTAGGAGTGTTATTTGCTAACTTTGACACAGCACCATCTCCTATTACGTAGATGACATATTTGTAATCACAGAAGACGCAGAACTCCAAGATGTAAAATGCCATCTGGTGTCAAGACTCCAATTTGCCATGGGAATAGCAACAATAACAGTCTACCTTTCCTAGATGCATTAATAACAAAAACAGAGACATCTCTAAGCACCAGCATATACACCAAGCTTACAAACATAGGATTCTGCCCAAATGGTAGGAATGAATGCCCTTAAAGATATAAAGCCAGTATTCTCAATGCTTATATTTGTTGTGCCCTTACCCATTGCTCTGAATGGAAACATATGAGTAGGGAGTTTGAAAGGATAACAATGAACAATGATAATAGTGAACAATGGATGTTATAACCACAAGGTCAAAACTTCTGAGACAAAACTTCAAGCCTCGAACTCACAACCTCTGGAATGGAAGACAAAAGCTCTACCGATCTTACTATGAATACCCAAAATAAGAGAGGGACCCAAAGATACACCACTGGTACCCAACTGGGACTTTCAACCTCTCCAGAGGTACCTTGCAGTTACCTTGCAATGCTTTCGAGATCCAATCCCCGACCAGGCCTCCTGGTTGCTGAACTGGTCAACCAGGCTGTTGGACATGGCTGCTTGCAGATTGACGTATGAATCACAGCCTGGTTGATCAGGTATCCTTTGGAGGTGTTTACCAAGTTTTCTTTTGAACATTGTGAGGGGTCGGCCTGTTATGCCCCTTATGTGTAGTGGAAGCGTGTTGAAGTCTCGGGCCTCTGATGTTGGTAGAGTTCTCTCAGAATACCTATTGCACCTCTGCTTTTCGACAGGGGTATTCTGCACATCCTGCCATGCCTTCTGGTCTCATGTGACGTTATTTCTGTGTGCAGGTTTGGGATCAGCCTCTCTAATACTTTTTACATGTAAATGATTATGTATCTCTCCCCGCCTGCACTCTAGAGAATACAGATTTAGGCATTTTAGTCGGTCCCAATAATTTAGATGTTTTACAGAGTGTATTCTAGCAATAAAGGATCTCTACACTCTCTCCAGGTCAGCAATTTCTCCAGCTTTGAAAGGGGCTGTCGTTGTGCAGCAGTATTCCACTCTAGAAAGAACTAACATCTTGAAAAGTATCATCATCAGTATAGCATCTCTAGTTTGAAAGGTTCTTGTTATCCAAGCTGTCATTTTCCTTGCAGTTGTGATGGCTACTTAATTGTGTTCTTTAAAGACAAGGTTTTCCGACATGTGCACACCCAAATCCTTTAATTGCTTTTCATTCTATGGTATGATATGACTGCGCTTTGTACGTAGTTTCCGTTTTTATATTTTCATTGTTTCCGTATCGCAGGAACTGGAACTTATCTTCATTAAACACCATATTCTGTACCCCATTGAAAAACCTGATTTACATCTGATTGGAGGTTTGCCGTGTCCTCTATGTTGTCTACTCTCATAAAAATCCTAGTGTCACCTGCAAAGGATGATACGATACTATAGTTTGTGCCCTTATCTACGTCCAATATGAGAATGAGAAAAAGTACTGGAGCAAGCACAGTACCCTGGGGGACTGAGCTCTTCACGCTTGATGGTCTGGATTTTATTTTGTTGACTATTACACATTGGGTTCTGTCAGTCAGGAAATTGTAGATCCATCTGCCTATTTTTCCGGTAATTCCTTTTGAATGCATTTTATGTGCAATAAAACCATGGTCACATTTGTCGAAGGCTTTTGCAAAATCTATGTAAATTACATCAGCATTTTGCTTGTCTTCCATGGCATCTAAGGCCATGTCATAGTGGTCCAGCATCTGTGATATGCAAGAGCACCCTGTTCTGAAACCATGTTGTTCAAAGTTATGGAGCTGCTATGATTCCATGTATTTTGTGATCTTACTTCTTAGCACTCTTTCAAAGATTTTTATGATGTGTGATGTTAGTGCTATCGGTCTGTAATTTTTTGCCTCTTCCCTATTTTCTCCTTTATGGAGTGATGCTATCTCTGCTGATTTTAATATGTCAGGGATAATGCCAGTATCTAAGCTCTGTCTCCAAGGAATGTGAAGCTCCTATGATCGTGTTTTTATGTGGAGAGCCTCATTGACTTCCTGGAGCTATCGGACTAATATATGCTACAGTAGTCTGGGGCTTCAGGCACATGGAGTTTTGCCTCCCTGGAACCACGAGCCAGAACCTATCTCCCTCAGAGAGGCACAGGGAGCAATGGCCTAAGAAAACTCCACTCTTTGAGAGTATATTCATGTCTGCCATCAACCGGGGTTAGGCACCCCAGAAAGGTAGGCGTCCCAAAACAAATCCAAACTGGTAAAAAATTGCAACCCAAGACCGAACAGAGCAAAAGAACTTCTCCCAAGAAAACAATGAAATAAGTAAAATGTCATCAAACCGACGCACCGCTTGTTCACCCTCCCTCCCCCACGGCGCTCACCCATCAAGCCAGCCACTTGCCCATCAGTTCGTCAACTGAAGCAGGCTGAAGCTGACGTCTCATCTGGCCTCAATTTTCTGTCAGGATTCTGCCTTTGCAGTTATACCTGCTGTGTGTTGGGCGATGGCCAGGAGTAAGCTGCACTTCGGGCTGCATGTGCTTAGGGTTCTCTTCTGTAAGCACCCTGTAAGTACTTCCCTTGTGTCTCAGTGTTATCTTTCCTGGGGGTTTCAGGATCTCACTCCCGTACGGGTTGCTGTCGCTTGGCATTGACCTTGCCCTTTGGGTCTGCAGGGGGAGTTTGATGCTTTTGTTTGGCCCTGGGTAGGGCGTGTTGGTTAGGGTGCACGGTGCCGTGCAGCTCGCATACCTAGCGGAGGCCGTGTCTCTCTCTGGGTTCCTGTTGTTGCTGTGCACTTTCAAGGTTTTATTTTCATTTCTTCTCAAATTCTTTTCTGACTGCCTTTCCATTAGGTTCCATTTGGTAATCCTTCCCTAGGCCCCCCGAGGTTGCACCCTTCACGAGAGTCAGTTTGCCCTGTAATAGGTGGGGATCAACCAGCTTTGCAGCACCAGTGCATGATGGGCTTCCCGTAGGGACACATTCCCCTGCAGGCCCTGTAAACCCCCGTCGGGGCTCAGGGTTTACTAAAGATACGTCTTCTCAGTCCCCTCTCACTTTGTGCGAGTTTGAAAGTTGTTCATTGTCCTTGTCTCAGGGTGACCTGCTTGATACCTGCTTGATGAGATTCTGGGAGTTCTTCTACTCCCAAAGTCCGGCCCGAGGCAGGTCCAACAGGCTGTTGCTTGGTTCAGCCCGCAGACCCACATATCCACCACAGTCCGGTTGGTCGGGCACCCCTTGAAGAAAACTATCTAGTTTTCTCTTGAAGATGTCCACGGTTGTTCCAGTGACAATCATCTGTTTTGCCTCCGTTATGCTGCTTGTTGGGTCGCCAACACCGTCAATCTGGAGTCGTGAAAGACTTGTTCCCCGCTCGTTCTCCAGTTTCCCTATTCTTCTTCGGAAGTTCTTAGGGGTCAAGTGACTGTCGTGTTGCATGGTAGGTTTTTGTTATTGCAAAGTGCTAGGTTGGTTGCCCGTTCAAATGCCCAGGGGCTGGAGGCTGCCCCGTTTTGGTTTTAGGAACCTGGACTTGGGGGATGTTGGTCGCTTCAACCTTGGGTCAGTCAGAGCCCTAGAGTCCCTTCCTGGTGGGCGCGGTTCACACTGCTCCCCCCTCCCCCGTCCCGGCTGCTGGCTCCCAAACGTCTTTGGGTTTCGAAGTCGGGAAAGGGTTTAGTTAGGGATGAGACTTGGGCGGCTCCAGGGGCTGCCCCATTCATTGCCGGGATGGAGGACTTTGAGCCTAATCTTCCTGCCGAGGCTTCTAGGTCTTACCA